AAAAAAAAAAAAAAGGATCCCTTTCCTTGTCTTTCCCAGCTTCTGGAGGCTCCCTACATTCCTTGCCCAGGGCCCTTTCCCCCATCTTCAGAGCTGGTAGTGTAGGATCTTCAGATCTCAATCTGTATGTGTCTGTGTGCGCATGTGCACGCACGTGTGTGTGTCTCAGACCTAGGCTTCTGGGCTCGCATCTTGTCACTCCCCTGCCTCCTTTTCCCAACTAAGGACTTTTGTGGTTACACTGGCCCCATCTGGATCCTTCAGAATAATCTCCACATATCAGCGTAATTTAAATCACATCTGCCAAGTCCCTTGTGCCATGGAAAGTAACATATCCACAGTTTCTAGGATTAGGATGTGGACATCTTTCTCTCTACCACAGCTAACAATGTTATAGTTGCTTCATAAAAAGAGTTTGAAAATTTTCTTTGATTTTCTATGCTTTAAAACAGTTTGTCCAGCATTCAGATTCTCTTCTCTTTGAAGGCTTGGTAAAATTCTGCTGTGAAACCAAGGGACCTGGTGCATCTTCGTAGTTTCTTAATAACCTTTCTTTCCCTTTGGAAATTGCTTTATCTAAACTTTCAATTGGGCCAATTTCTTTTTTCTTTTTTTTTTTTTTAAGATTTTATTTATTTAACAGAGAGAGACATAGCAAGAGAGGGAACACAAGCAGGGGGAATGGGAGAGGGAGGAGCAGGCTTCCCCCTGGGCAGGGAGCCTGATGTGGGGCATGATCCGAGGATCCTGGGATCATGACCTGAGCCAAAGGCAGATGCTTAACGACTGAGCCACCCAGGCGCCGCAAGTCAATTTCAATGAACTATTTTTCTGGGCAACTATTTGTTTCATCTGGGTTTTCTAATTCATTTGCTTTGAGGTCTACAAAGTGGTCTCTCATGTTTTAAATTTTGTAGATTTCAATGATTATTTCTCCCTTGTCATTTTTTATTTCGTGTTATGTGAACTTTATCCCCTTTTTCTCAAGTAGCTGAACTAGTGATTGATTGTCTGTTTTGATGCTTTCTTAAAGAACCAAGATTTTGATTTATTAGTTAGATATGGCATTCTTCTGTTCTCTACCTTATTAATTTTTGCTTTCACTTTTATTATTTCCTTCCTGGTGCTTTCTTTTGATTTACATTGTTCTTTCTGCAGCTCTTTTGAGTTTGGGGTTTAATTCATTTATTTTTTCAGGACGCCTGGGTGGCTCAGATGGTTAAGCGTCTGCCTTCGGCTCAGCTCATGATCCCAGGGTCCTGGGATCGAGCCCCACATCGGGCTCCTGGCTCAGCAGGGAGCGGGTTTCTCCCTCTCCCTCTACCTCTCCCTTTGCTCATACTCTCTCTCTCTATGTCTGTGTCTCAAATGAATAAATAAAATCTTTAAAAAAATGCATTTATTTTTCATGATAAAAGTGTTTAAGGCTAAGAATGCTTAAAATGATGCATAAGTATCATGCCTTATGCGTCATAGGTTCTAATACATAGCGTTTTCATTATCATTTTCTTTAATTCTGCACTTCTAGGTTTGTATTTTCCTTTTCACCCAGATATGTTTGTCAGCTTCCAGGTGAAAGGGCTTTCTTGTTGTTTTAATGTTACTAATTTCTTGTTTCATTGTATTGTGTCAGAGTGTTTGTAATATTTCTATTTTATGCAACTTACTGATTTTTTGTGTGTGTGTAACCTAACACATAATCAAATAATGTGAATTTCTATGTGTGTTTGAGAAGGTGTGACTTCTACCCTAGGAGTACACTATTGGACACATTTAAATGAGAACTACCTGACTGATTATATATTTAGGTCTTCTAGATTCGTATTTATTTTTAGTCCACTTGGCCTGTCTTAGATTATCACTTATTATGTTTCCATGTATTTCACTTGGCATCTTTTACAGATAGTTTCTTCTTTATAAAGATGGTTGCCTCCCCCTCCCCCTTTGGAACTTTGTAGGATTTGTATTTTTGTCCTATTGGTTGCTTTTGAACTTAAACGTTTTAATGCCCTTAGTCCCTGTTTCTTATTTAATCTTGTATTATCTCATTGATCAGTTTTTAATGATGTTCTTTGACTCCCAACTATTATTTCAAATCAACTCTCAATGAGCTTCTTCTCTTTCAGCTTTTCTCTCTTCCCTCGCATTTCTAGTTACATTATTTTTACTTTGTCATAAAATGTATATATTATCTTTCGACCCTTCTCCTACCTTTATCAAGTACTCCTAAATCTGATAAGTACATTAAATGCTCAGCATCAATGTTTTTGCTGAAATTTCTCCAGTGATTTCTTGGTTGGATGAAGACTGTTCAAGAAAAGCTGATGTGGACAGTATTCCCTGCATTCTTACAGTTTAATTTTTAGACCTGTTTTTTTCTGTAGCCTTGATACTTGAAAAAGAGCTTGGATGGTTTTAAGATCCTTGGTTTGTACTTTAATTTCTGATTTAAGATGGTTTTCACACCCTGGGGTGCTTGATTGAAAACATTTAATTTACTTGGCAATGTTGTATTGTGGTTTTCTTCACTTTATGGTTTATTTTGGCAGGGCATTTGGCATTTTCATAAGATGATAGATTTTGTTATTCTTATTTTCTATTTTCTTTTATAACAATTTTGTCTAGATTTAGGTTTCTTTTCTTAATTTCATGGATTTCAAGTATTTATAAGATTTCTAGTTTAAGAGGATCCTTTCTAGTGGGTGTAACCAAGTCTACTTATCTTTTTACTATTTTATTTTATTATTATTTGGGGATGGGAGTAGGGGAGGTTGTATGTCTTCGTTTTTTCTTTCTCTTTTTTCCTTACAGGATCTGACATTTCCCCCCTTTTGCTGCCCTTTTCCTTTATCTCCCAGTTTCCAAAGGATGTTGCTTCTTGCTTTGTGTCCTTTCCTCCCTCCCTTTCTGACTGCCACTTCTGATTCATGCCCACTTCTGAGTCTCTTCCTCATCTGCACCGCGGTTTACCAGGATTCGTACAGTCTTTTCTACATCAGGTTGACATGCTTTCCAGCGATGGCTTCAACTCAGTTCTTGGCTGCAACCTCATTTCCTGCTTCGCTCGTCTATACTGTTTTCCCGGGGCTTGTGCCCAGAGTGCGACATACAGCTCTGTTGAGATTGGATATTAACTTTTTTTTTTTTTTAACTTACAGGTTGTTTGAAGATTACATAATTTTCTATCTTCTAGTTTACTGAGAGTGTGGTTTTGTGTAGTTTTACTTATTCTTCCTGCTGGTCTGTATTGCTTTGTGCATAGTTGATCACATTAATCCAGGCTGCCTCTTTCTAAATGGTACTTGGACATAACAAGAGAAAAGATGCTATTTTCCACAAGACTGTAGTCACCTTGGTGATGTAGAAAGATCTGAGAGAGAGAGAAAGCTGGTGTGTTCTTTGTACACTGTGGAAACCATTCAAAGGTTGACTTATCTGGAGCAGAGAACTTTTAGGGCAAAAACAAAATCAAAGAAACAGATTCAAGCATTGGATTGGAAGAGTTTAATTGCATTGACATTTGTTTTTATATGGAGTGCCAGGGAGCATAAAAATGTCTAAGCATTGCCTCTTACATTAAAACACTTTCAAATTCATCATTCGCCCAGAGACCATGTAGATGGTAAAGGTTCCATCACACAACTATGCTCGCATCTGACAGATGAGGGACCAAGACTCAGAGAGCCTCACTCACATGATGTCCTGGTTGCAAAGTTGCCTTGAGTAGAGCCAGGAGTAAAACATCAGCCCCCTGACGGATGATGCCATGCATTTCCATCACCAACTGTGCCTCATCATAGAGGTTTGCACTCGTTTGTGCCTCTTTCCAATTTTTTGTTACTGTTCAATCGCTTCTGTAACCTAAGTCCCCTCCCTGACAACAAATGACTAGGGGAAAATACTTTTTAGCATTGTATTTCAAATGGATTTGCCCTGCTAAAAACGATGTAAGTTGCTTGTCCGGTAAGTAAGAAATACTTCCTCCCCTAATGATCCACCTCCCTCTCTCTTTTCGCAGAGGACAGTTATGGGATGGATGGGAAGGTTAATCCGCCCGGCCTCTCTGCAGATGTCAACTGGCAAGGTCTGGAGGATTTATACAGAGTGAACAAAAGTGTCTACGAGTACAGACAACACTATCCACTTAGTCTGGCTGACTGGACTAATTACTTGAAGGATGTAGATAGAGTATTTGCACTGCTGAACAGCCACCAGGAGCAAGACAAAACAAATAAGACTGCAACTGCTCAAAGTGATGGGTCCCTGGCTGGATCTGCAGAGCTCTCGGCGCCGGTAGAGAGAGCTTCCGCGGAGTCAGATGAGGACCCGAGTCCTACGCTTGGGGAAGCGCCTTATTGGACCTGGCCGGCTGACCTTCGAACCCTGCCTTTGAACCAACCAACATTCAGTCCAGAGACGAAACTTGAATGGAACAACGACATTCCCGAAGTGAGTCGTTTGAATTCTGAACACTGGAGAAATCATAAAACTGACACGTGGACGGAGCACGAAGAGAGAAATCATCTTGCAAGCGATCTTAGCGGCAACGGCCTCACAAAGCTGATGGTGCCTCCCAGGCCCCGGCTGCAGCAGGAATTTCCCCGGGGGGGCGGGCCAGGCGAGGATGTTTTTGATCTTCTTCCCCGGGGGGCCGGGCCAGGCGAGGATGTTTTTGATCTTCTTCCCCGGGGGG